GTGATCTCACTTAGTTTCCCTGTACTGGCTGCATGTAAAAATAAACTGCTTCTAAACCAGAGCTATACTTCCTATCTGCATATCTTAGTTTTGCATTCATGCATTGCTTAAATTATTGCTGGGTTACATTGAGTTTGAGAGTAACTCACCTGAAGGTATTAACCAGTTCTGTGTAACTTTAACTTGTTCTTAGTGCTCAAATGAACTTCTTCCTTTTGCTTACAGTCCTAAAGTCCCAGGTTGGTGTTCTCTCCAGGAACAGTATATATCTGCCAATTTTTTGAATATTTTGCCTAATAGTCTTATGAATTGCAGCTCTTAATTGGGTGTGAGGGGGAAACATGTTGAAATTCCCTTGTCATACATATCTCTGGGCCTGGCGAGAAAGGAGGGGGAATGTGCCTAACTGGGCAGATTTCTGCTTGAAACCAGCTTTCAGTATAATCATGCCGTTTTCAGTGAGCTGACTCTAACAAGCTTGTGGCCAAGAGTAAAAAGTGACTGTTTTGAAATGTATATTTTTTTTTTTCTGTAAACTGAAAAGCATACAAAATCCCCTGGTGGTAAAAAACAGGGTTTTTTTTTTTTTTTTTCAGTCTATATAAGATGCAAAAAGCTTATTCTAGGGAAGTTATCCTTTGAGTAACAAACCAATGCCATTCCCCTTTTATACGCTAATGAAAAGAACTTGCTCTCCATACAGTAGTTCAATAGGATAGCAGCTGTCAGGAAAATCCAATGAAAGGATTAGCTAAACTGCAATTGGTTAATTAAAGCCCTCATTTGTATCTTGCTATGCAGAAATCTCAGCAAAGGACATGAGAGTAGTTGTAGGTGAGCTCACGTGTTCTGATGCATGAGTCTGGAGGTGGGTGTGGAAACTATCCTGCTTGTAAGAAGCAAATTTGAGCCATGTGGATGTGTTCTTAGTCTACTCCTGCTTCTTGTCCATCCTCCTGTAATCCAAAACTAAAGATCTTAATCAGCATGGAGATTAAGTAATTCATTTTTTGTGATTGGGCCAAAACATGCTGTTACATGGCAGAAAAGGTGCTGAAAAATATTGGATGTATGGTCTGCAGTGTGGGCATCCTAGTGACCAGAGCTGGGAATTGAGCTGCTAGTGAAGGATTCTGGCTGGTTAGCACAAGGCAAATGATTTTATGAGTGTGAGAAACTGAACAGATGTACCAAGTGTAGCTTGAGGTTCCTCTGAGCTTTAGAGTCATTTAATTTTGCTAAAAACCCAGCAAGTCATTTAACTTTCAGAATTACTGATGGTTCAACTGTTAACAAGTATAGCAAACTAATAACAGGCATCTAAATCTTGATCCTAGTTTAGGTTTTATATGCTTAAGATGTTGTAGAGCCATTGTATTTACTTGATTGAGGTGTAGGTTAGAGCAGAAGAAATTCCAGGCATAACTATGCATAATATGGAGTCTGGATTTTTTTAAAAACATTAATGTAAGATAGAGAAATAAACTGGTGATATCAGAAGCCTCTAGCGAGTGGCTGACAAACTTGCACTGACTTGTTATGCAGTACATGCTCTTCTGTAGCATAGTTCTTATGCCTGTTTTCCCAAGTTAAAAATGGCCTTGAGACTGTTGAAGGAGTCTAAACAAGAAGCAAGTTTTCATTTGCAGTAGGTCATTAAGCTTTGGGGTTGGTGTTGACTGTTGTGTCAGCATGTTAGACTTGTGTGTGTTGCCTTTTTTTTAATGACATATGGCAATATAACCTGTAAGTGATATGAATTATCTTAATGTAGTCCCCGTTCTTGGGACTTTTTCTCTTCAGAAACGTTTGGTTTCAAAAAGATTCATTTGGTGGGGATATAAGTTGTTGCAGATAAGAAATGGGCAATCTGTCAAATACCGGTTTTGTGCAGAAAGATAAGGGACTCTGAGGGAATACTTCTTGATAAGCTTGTGGGTGAATAGATCTTCCTGGAATTTAAGTCGGAAACTACCCTCACTTGATTTCGGTGGATAAATGAAGCATTTTCTGACTGCAAGCTTCTTTTGGCCTCCCCTCACTTCTGTCTGTAAAAGTTTTTGGCTTCCCCTCACTCCTCTGTCTGAAAAAGACTGCTTGTTTTTTTTTTTTTTTTTTTTTTTTTTTTTTCCCCCCTGTAAGTAATGCCTCTGAATTTGATATCAATAAGTACACGTCGAATGAGAAGTTGGGTGTGATCACTGAAAAGACAGGTTAATTGACTGTGATAAGGGTTTCCTCAAAGTGTAAGAACCTAATCCGGATATGCAAATGGTGTTGAAATATGATCATGGTAACTATATTGACAAATAAAAACACTTGCTTTAAAAATATTATACATGAAGACCTAGGGCCAACTTAAAGTCTATCTCTTACACTGCAATTTTGGGACAGATGCACTGTTATCTCTTGGAGTCATATTCACCCTTACTGTCAATGCATGTGGGAAAGGTGTGTGTGTGTGTTTCTTTTTATTTTTTTATTTTTTTTTCCTCCCCCCACCCCCGGTCAGTTCTTGCAATAACTGACTTGAATTTTCCCACCTGGCATCAGCTGACTTAAAGATCTCTTCTCTTCTACTTCATTCTGGGCCACTAAGATCTGAAAGGTTGGAACCTGTGGAGAAGCTGGGTGACTCAACCTGCTTCTGTTCTGAGCCAAAAAAAAAAAAAAAAAACTTCAGCTTCATGGCAGGGTGTTTTTTGGTAGTTTTCATGCTGACAGGCTACTTGTTACACAATATTTATCAAGTCTTTGGTTTTCTGCTGTTTTACTACAGAGGTATAGCATAAAAGGGTAAAGACTCTTACCATGGTCCAAAAACTTTCCTTCTGAGTTTTGTGAGTATTTGGTTCCATCTTCTGTAAAGAAGCAATGTAATCTCGACTATTTTTACCCTCCTTTTCTTTTATTTTTTTTTTTCCTGCTCACCCCACCAGTTCTCCTGCAAAGCCAGGAAACAGCCAAGAGAAACCTTCTCTGAAAGATATGAGAAGGATTAAATGAGTCACTTCCATTACCTAGTGTAACTGAAGTTTCTGCTGTGCAGGATCATGATTATACTTTCCAGGGGTGTGCTTTTAGCATGTACGTTTTGCCACTGCAAAGCTCTTAGTTGGTCTTTTGAGTTGTTGTGGCGTTTTTTTTTTGGTTTTTTTTTTTTAATCTTTGCCTACTTGGAGTCAGCAAAGACTTTCCGATAGATCCCGCTGTCCTATCTTTGTAATAGGAAACCAACCCTCTGCACAGTGAGATAGGTACCTTGCTATTTCTTTGTTTACGGACTGTACTCCGAGGAAAGGGAATGCTGCATGCAACTAAGGCTAATTCCTTCCAAATGAAGCTTTGTTAATGGAATTAATCCTAAAACTTTTTTTAGAAAGTTGCTTTTTTTAAAAAAAAAAAAATCTACTTTTAAAAGGATTTTTGGCCCTCTGAATTTGAATTAATAGGGTTACTCTGGCTGAAAGGGGATTCAGGAGATCCTTTAGTCCAACCCAGCTCTACTCTGGGTTAGTTATGAGGTTAGGAGATGTTACTTGGGGCTTTTTTTGAGTGGTTTCAAAAGCTAAGCTGGCAGCTTTACTTTTGGAACAGGATCCATGCTGTCCCTTCTTTTAACTGAGAATTTTGAGCTTTTGTGTATATCATCTAATGACTCTACTAAAGACAAATGGAGCATTTGGAGACATGCCCCAGCCCATCATGTAGCAGTATTGCCACACTTAGAGCTCACAATGCTGACGGTTTTTTCCCCTCTGCCTTTTGCTTCAGGGTGCTTGAAGAGTTTATCCAGGGTTTGTGTAGCTCCAGGTGAATTGGGTTACTTGGGTATTTCATTCTGAGGCTTGCTAATGTGTTTAGGCTATGAGCCAGGGCATTCCCCCTGCCAGGTAGGTGATGGGTCATGTCTTGGAGTGCTTCTGTGATAATGAAGACTAGAATGCAAGTATGGGTGTACTTGAGATCTGACAGGGTGGCTGCTTTCCTGCCTCACTGCAGCTCTCGCTGTACAGAGTGTTCTTGCAGATTACTTAAAGGCAGGAAAGGACTACAAATCCTCAGCTTCTGCTTCTGAGGAATGCACTTTGCTGCTCTTTAGCATAACACAATACCTGTCCTCAGAACAAGTCAGAAGTATTTCAGGGGTTGTATCTTCTAATGTTAATTATCTTTTTTTTTTTTTTTTAAAAAACCATGAAGACACTTGAAAATTGGGTACTACGTGCATGTGTGCAGACATTCTTCTGTAAAATGCTTTAATTATTCCAGAAATAGCCCTTTGCACACATTCTGGTTTACTCATCTTTCAGAAAGTAATGTGGAAATCCAATGAGTATAAGATCATGGGAGGAGAGAGATAAACTGAGCAGATATGTTATTGAAGAATTACCTGATTTGAATTTTACTCCTAGATCAAGTTTTCATATTTCCCTTTCTCTAACCTCCAAAATAGCCGCTTGTCACTCTGCTGATTTTATGGATTGTTCTAGCAGTTTTGTCAGGCTTGAGGAAGGAGCATGAACGCAGCTAGATAAAGATCTTTTTGGAAAACAGATTTCAAGTGGGCTGTGGAGGGAAGAATTAATTACGTAGTAAGTATCTTTCTAGAAATGGTACAAGTACACTCTTAAGCTTTAGCTTAGTTAAACTCCTGTGCGAGATCTGACATCTACTGGTAGGAACCTTAAATGGATTGTCGTCAATGTTCAGGCATATGCTTAGGCCTGTTCTGTTGAAACTCCCATATCTTTAGCAAGAGGTGATGTATGGAGTTGTATTTAAGAATGTAAAAATTCTCACAGTAGTCAGGGAGCTGTAACAACTACAGGCATGAGTTTCTAATAAAGTGATTGAACTTTCAGTAAATTGTATCTACTTTGTCTTCTAGCCCTTATACATGCTGAAACTTCTTAGGCTTAAGGTATTAGACTATGTTAGTAGTGTTGCAGACATGCTATTGTCTTATGATGATCTAAAAATATGTATTTTTTTTCTTTATGTCTTTAAAGGCTTGCCATGGATGTACATCTGTATCCAAGTGTGACTGCAGTGGAGTAAAAGGTGAAAAGGTAAATCTCTTAATTTGGTAGTGGCAGACTGGCATGCCACCTAGCTCTGTGTCAGACCTTGCATTCTAATGATAGCTTTTTTTTCTTATTTTTTTGGCAATATTGTGGGCATAACACTGAAGTTCTCAGGTAAATCACACCAACAAGACCCTCTGGTATCATTGTTTTATCAGAAATGGTAACATATCTGTATTCATATAACTGGAAAAAAATAATGTAGAAACAAATTCTAGTAAGATATAAGTGCTTCCTTTTTACTGTTAAGGCCTGATTATGCTAGCCTGCTATTGTGGCTAAGCTGAGGTGTGGATTTGCACAACTGTGGCTTTATTGCTAATATTTTGGTGGGAATTTAAAACCACAAGTTCCTTATCCCATTCATGCATTGTCTGCTCATAATTAATACAGTAATAATATACTTGCATTATTCCTGCTTTGAACTTACTTGTTTTAAGTTTGTGTATCAAGTTCATCTCTGTTGCTGTCTAGATGTTCAGCTGGATTGTGGAGGTGATATGGTTCAGATACAGCGTTCTCAACAACCAGAGCTGCCACCCCAGCAATCATTTGGTTGATAGATAAGTGTCTTCTCTGGTCAAGCAGACGAACAAAATCAGTGTGGTTTACTCAGTGCAGTGGGCTGTTTGGGCTGCCCAGCCAGTGTCCTGAGGCCAGAAGACTTGGCTTGGAAATCTGAGATGCATGGAAGCAGGAAAGCTTTAACTTTGAATCTTACTGCTCAAGTTCAGTATTTTTGTGCATTCCTTCATATTTCTTACTAGTATTTCTTATAGCTTTACAGACGTTAATAAAATCAAGATGTGTAGAAGCCACTTGCTTTAAAGGGAGCTGTTTATTTTTTGTCATACACCCTTAGAATGAACCAGATAATGCTTTCCCTAAATTCTTTGTGGCAATAATAAACACCTGTCCTGTGCTTTTTCTGGTAGCGTTATATTTAATGTGTGCTGTGCGATTTCTTCTAGGAGCTGATAACCTCTTTCAGATTGGTTCTAGGAAGGCATAGCTTAGCCTTACTGTGTGTTTGGGCTTTGAGGTGCTCTAGATTTAATTTCTGACATGTTTCAAAGGTGTTTTTGAGGTTATATAAACAAATGTAACCTAAAATGAACCAAAGTGATATAAAATACTCGAACACTGTTTAGGATCATAATGTGCTGACATGGAGTTTTACTTTTGGCTGATGTTGAACAAGGCAGATGTCCAATATTCAGGGTAATCCATGGAGCCACACCTACCATGCAGATGTCTCCAAATAGATGAGCTCATTCCTTGACATTTACCTGTTAGTTCACTGCTTATATTCCTAATGTACATACCTAGTGAAGAATGATACTCCCATCTGACCCTGCTTTTGCTGCATTTTTACAGGATCTTCAAATGGAGGATGGTCAAACCAGCACAATTTCATGTTTAGCTTGAAGTCATTTGAACCTTTGGTTTACAGTCCAAGTAAAATCAAAGAGCTGCAGCTTTGGAGGACTGATGTGGTTAGCCTCTTTCTGCAAAAGTTGCAGCTGTTCTGTGAATTCAGTGAGCAAGTGGCTGTTGTGTATGGATAAGGAAGGGAGGGGGCAAATGAGAAGTACAGCTTTTGTCATTCCAAGTGAAATACTCTTTTTCTTCCCAGTGATTCCATTTTTATGCAACTGTTATATGTAGGAACTGTGCTACAGTTGGTACTCTCCAATCCTTTAGTGTCACTTAATGATCTTGCAATATCTTTTCTAGAGAAAGGTGACTATCTTGAGGCTGTTCAATTGAAGTCAGAGGGGTTCCTTTTTTCCAAATACAGTCAACCAGTGATGCATGAGAACCTCAGTCAAGATCAAACCCTTGAGACCAATAAAAGTGTGGTAATTTAAAAAAGACACAAAGGAAAAGAAAGTTATATCTAGAGTAGGACTGCTGCCTTCCCTGTATTTTCCTGTATGGCTATGAGCTCTTTGGGGAGACTATAACTTCTTAAGCAAGCAGATTTAATATAGGTTTTCCTCCTTAGAAAGGAAGATTCACTTTAAAATGCAGGAACTGTGATCCCTTCTTCAACTAAATAAAGTTACTTGCTTTGTGATTCTGAGGTATGCTTGATACTTTCACCAACGCTTCAGAAGCTTGTGGAGCCCCATGGGGGTACGTTGTATCAAGAGGTGATGAAGAGCCAAGTCTGTAGTTCTTAAATATGATGCATTGCTTGTGGAACTGGTTTGATCATACCCCTGCTTACTTATTTGCGCTATAGTTACAAAGCCTAGGTATTTAGATGTGTTGACTTTTTCCCCAGTTCAGTTCTGGGGAGCCACAGGAGGCTTCTCAGTCACTGCCATTCGTAATAGCTTCTTCTCCAAGTGCATGTGTGGCTTTTCATTGATGTTTTTGTCTTAATCTGAGCTTTAAGTGTCTTGCAGGAATATAAAATTCCAGAAAAAGTTAAATTTAACCCAGCTTTTGTGCAGCTGTTCTTTAGTGAATGGAAATCTCTGCTACTACACCAAGCTTCAGGTTTTTGCAATGTATTTCACACTTGGCTCTTAATTCTGAGGTGATTGGTAGAAGAAGCAGAAATTCCAAGTCTGTAGTTTCCCTTGCTCCACCAGCATATGATCCTCATTAGGCAAGAAGCTCTTTAGATTATCTTCCTCTTTTGATTCTCCCAAAGGGGAGATGTGACAATGCATTTGTAGAACTACTGGAAATGAGGAATAGTTAAACATGGGAAAAGCGGTGCCAAATGTACTCAGCCAGGCCCTGCATGTGTGTTCCACCACGTTTCACTTCTGCCATCCAGCTCCTGCATCCAAGTCACTGTTTGCTTGCCCAAAGACAGTAGAAGTGCTGCTCTGCCTAGAACAGCCTAGTGAGTTCATTTTGATACTTAAAAGTAGCTCTCTTTCTATGTATCTTAGCATTCCCTTCAGGATAGACCACTCTGGGCAGATCAAGGCAAGTAATAGAAATTGAGTCATAACAAACAGCAATGTTTTTCTTCTCTTCCTTGGGCAACCACTGCTCTTGTTTTACTGCCTGTGTGATGTCAAAGACCTATGTTTTACTCTGCCTCTGCCGTGAGCACTTGTAGTGTTAGGTGTTGGGGGATCAAAGCACTGTAAGCTTTCTGGAAAACCTCTAGTGAGGCTGACAAGTAAAAAAGCTTTCTTAAGCCTTTCTTCCTCTGCTCAGGCCTACCTTATTAAAGTTATGTACAAAAGGGGTAGCATAAGCTGCACTAGTGTCTTGTAATGGAGAAAATTCCTTGCTGGAGCTGTCAGTAAAAAATGATCATTGCTGATAGCTGGAGTGCTGTTTCTTTCTTACCTTCCTGCACACATGTGTACATGTACACACTACTCCTCCTACACCTGCAGAAATAAAAAAGATCTGTCCTAAATAATGAAAAATGGTAGAGTGTGTGCCCCATTAACCATTTATCTTTCATTTCCTTAAGCTGCTTAAGTAAAGGAAGGATGAAAAATGTTTCATTTCTTGTTAAGGAACTGGAGGCTGGTTGATACTAGTGAGATTAGCCTGCCTAACTGCTTAAAGCCAGTAAATTCATTAAAAAAAAAAAAAACAGATGAGGCACTTCTCCCTCTTCCCTTCTTTCTCCTTGACCTCCCCCCCCCCTCCCCCCCCCCAAAAAAAAAGCCCCAAAATTTCTCCTTCCAGCAAAACTTATAGCTTATTGGGCTATTTTTACAGCAGATGAAAACAAGATCCAACACTGCTGCTGAGATCAGCTCCCTAGAGACCTGGGGCAGCAGTTAACTTCAGCTGCAGAGCCAAGGGCAGCAGTGAGTTGCTTGCAAGTTAGGAACTTAGAGAGCATGCAGCCCCAAACTATGTGGCTTTACTTCAAAGGGGTAGCAGGTGCTGCTGCTAAAATGTGCTTTCTTGCTTCCTTTCTTGGGTTTTTGTGTGTGTGTGTGTGTGTTAATTTTGCAGTTTCAGTGTATGCTTCAGTATTTGCCAGGCAGCTGGTATTTTCTCCTGGCAAATTCAGTCTTTGTAGCATTCAAATTTTGATGAAAGCAGTATAGTAAATGTAATAGGAAAGATGAAATAAGAAGTTATGTCTGCAAACTAATGTAATTTATGGCATGCTCCTTTGTAATATTAAGCAGAAGAAAACAAGAATTTCCTCTCACATAGTCTCTTTTTCTAAGTGCTTAATCAGGTTAGTTCCTTCCGCTTTCCCACCATCTCTTTCTCCAAACAATTTTTTGATTAAAAAGAATGATTATATTGTTAATAAATATTACCTCTGCAATGAGTGTGGTATGGTTCTCTCAGGCTTTCTGGGAAATGCACCAAGAGTTCCTCTGTCAGCTGTTTCTTCATGCAAGGCTCATACATCTTGTAAAGGGGGCTTGGAAAACACTAATTTCACAATTTCACTAGTATGTTTTTAGTAGTATCTTTTGCTTCCCATATTTCTCAATTCTGTGCTTTCGTATGTTTCTTGCTTTCACTTTTAAAGTTCTTGATTCCCTAGTCCTGCCCCTCTGGAGTGATTGTGCTTTAGAGACATCGTGTAGACTAGCAAGCACCTGGCACATCTGACTTCTCTTGCATGCAAGCACGTTTCCTTGGTGTGCAAACACAGTTCTTGCCAGAGCTTGCTTCAAAATCTGGCTCTGTCTAATGTTTTCCTTACTGGGCACTCCCAAATTCCTCATTCTCTCTCCTTCAGGGACACACTAACCCTTTAGTATTCTGGCATGAGATATAACACTCCCCCAGTGCTGCTTTTTGAATGTGGTATCACACCAGCTGTAGAGCTCTGTGTGAATGTAGAGCCTGACACCTTGTGTGCAGGAAGACAGCCTGGACCCTGTCAAGCTCAAGTCAACATCAATTTATGATGCAAGATGTCTATCCTGTATGAGAGATCAGGATGTGACCTACAGTGAGAGAGGAGTATGTTTACATTTTAATTATTAGAAAACTAATTTTAGCAAAGTTGCTAATGAGCTATCTGTTCCTACCCAGGTCAGATTCCTCCTGTATATGACTGAGTACAGCTTAGTCTTTTCCTGTGAGATCTCAGCTCATGTTTGTGGAGAGCCTTTGACACCTTGGTGTTTTCCTTCTTCATTTCTAAGGAAGCAGTACAGCAAGTACCAGAAGAGAAGCCATGAGAAAAGTCCTGCTTTGTTACTGCCCTCTGAATATTTTTCAAAGATCTTGGTTTCTCTTCAGTGTTTTGCATGCAGCTTGCAATTTTCTGTACCTTGCAGTGCAATGCAGGGCACATACCTAAGCAGTACTGTGAGAGGAGTAGGGTTTAAGGATGAGACCTAATCCTGCTGTCATGCTGAGTACTGAACTCAACATGTGCAGTGGACAGATGCTTATGGGAAACAAAGAGGAGACAGACAAAGCTTGAATGTTGTCTTATGTATGTTGTTCCTAAGGCAGTAGTTAGATACTTATATCTGCTTGCGGCACACAGTCTTCCGTTCGCTGCTGTATTCCTGAAGAAGAGAGATTCCTGGTTCAGTTCTTTGCCCTGATTGAGATCTGGGCAGGACCTCCCTGTTCCCTGCTGAATGCCTTAGCTGGTGGGATGCTAATATAGATGGGAGTTTGTACTCCTGTTCTTGTAGGGATAACAGAGCTGTAGGAAATTACCAGTTTATGCAGTAGCAATTTGTACTCTAACATCTGCATGTACGAAAGGGTACGTTACTTCTGGTTCTGCCTAACTTCTCTACAGTGATTGAAACCTTAATATTTAGGAATATGTGTGACTACATGATATATGAGAAATCAAAGTATAGGTTTTTTATGAATTTGCAACTATGAACTTTCTAAAACCATAGAAAAGTATATTGTTAGCTTATGCAACAAGTGACGAGGTAGCATATCTATGGTGTATGGTACAGGTGTATTTCTTGCCCTAGTGATGGGGGTTTAGCAAAATATGGCTACTGCAGTTGAGGGCAATTGCTCACAATTTAAGCATAACATGATGGATAAAGGGAAGCACTATTTCTCTGCCGTCCTATGTCTGTCTTCCTTGTTTTAGTTCATGAGTGCTTTGGGCTGGAATCATTTTTTTCATTCTGCCTTTGTACAGTGTTTAGCCTACATCACATCACCAGGATCTCGAGCTCTTTTGTTGTATAAATAACAATCTTGAAACTGTGAAGTGATGATAAGCAGGAGTTATCAGCAGTACAAAAGCAATTTGTGCCCATTTTATACTTTTTATGAGTATTGTAGCAGAAGTGAGTTCTTGGGAAAGACTTGGTAAGTAAGAATGGTACATTTTTATAGGAAGAAAGGAGTGAGTGGTGCATTTGGGCAGTGCAGCAGAACCATTGATTGACAAATTATTTTGATAAATAGGTGGTTTAAATACTGGATAAACATCCTATGAAATCTGTTTAAGTAGTGCCATTAAAGGCAGTATATGTGCAGGCTGTTCAGGAATGTCTGCATGATATTTAATTACAGTGAATTTGTCATTTGTCTGTGTGACAACTTTCTATAGCAAATGAGATAGTAGTAGTATTTTACCTTTTTAATATATCTTAAATAACTCATGATTTTGTTTTCCTCTCCTCCCCTTCCCTCCTGCCCCCATTCTTTTTGCAGGGTGAAAGAGGATTCCCAGGCTTGGAAGGGCAGCCAGGTTTGCCTGGGTTTCCAGGACCAGAAGGACCTCCTGGCCCAAGAGGCGTGAAGGTAAGTCAGAGTTCACTTGTTGCAGCATGGAAATGCTAACTATTGTTAGCTTGCTCATAGCGCTGATCCCAAATCATTCCAGAATTCCTTATTATCTTTGACTTAACAGTCAAAATCCTGAAAAAATGGGATTTGACATAATTTTGTTTGTTTTGAACAATCAGCCATAGCAAAAAATACTGATTTTGGCTTCCTATTTCTCACTTCTGTATCTGCTTGCAAACGCTGTATATCTGCTTGTATCCTTTCACAGGGTACTGCAGATTAGGCTCAGAGGCAAGGTTTGTCAAGATCCTGTAAGGTAGTTTTATTAGCTGATGCACTAATGCACCCCTGTCCCTTAGTTAACTGGTAAGAGTGGCATTTGGCCATCAGCCCACAGGGGACCCACCTTTTCACACCACTTTGCATCTGGTGGCATTTGGGCAGGTTTTGGGTGGGGTGACGTGAATGGAGGCCAAATTGAACAATGCAGAAGACAGCTGAGGAATGCCCTGTGCTTCCCCTGAAGGCTTTTGTTTTATTCTTGTTTGCTATTGAATTACGCTAGTGTGCTCAGATGGTGCAGTGTGGCATTAGGATGCTGAAAAGCCTTTCTCTTGAGTGTCTGCATGTGTATTTAACATGCACAAGACAAGCTTAGCCATAATCTGTCCATTTCTTTTGCAAAAGTCCATAGTATAAAAGGCTATCAGAAGTGTGTCATACAAGAGGAAAGTAAATAGTAGAAGGGTGATAGAAAAAAACAAAGGACTACACTAAGAGGAAAAAATAGTTGGATATAACAAGAGTGAAAGGAAAAAAACAGAGCTTGTGCTAGAAAACTTTGATAATGTTTCTACTAATTTTACTAATTAGTAAAATTACTAATGTTTCTACTAATGTTTCTACTTCTTAATGTCTTTTCAGATAGTTCCCTATGAACCTCTGCATTGTTGTAGTATAGAACAGTAATGCTACATTTTATTCACATTTAATCTTGCATTTTGTTTTGCCCACAAGAGGTCACTCTAGTATGTTTGACAAAAGAAGCAAGTAAAATGTGTTAGCTCAAAAGCAGACTTAAATACTCTTTGATTTTAAACTGACTCAGGAGAAATATTTTTTTTATCAGCTGTAAAAGTGTTTTCAATTCCCACTTAACAGGAGGGCCCAAAATAACTTTTATTTTGAGCATTTTTACTCAGAAAATGACAAATAACAGCTTGTAACCATGTTACAGTTAACATGTAAAAGAAATTTTTATCATGATTGCTTTTTACTTTGATAGGAAGGATAGCTGCCACTTTGAATATGTTCATGTGTGTGTGCTCTCTCTCTTTTTTTTTTTTTTTTTTTTTTTCCCCCCTCCCTTTTTTTGGGGGTGA